TTCCTGCTGGCTGACCCTTAGTGCCCCTTTTCACATGGAGGCAGCGGTGCGGGCCAGAGGGATGTGTCCTTCGCAGGTTTCCAGGAGGTGATAGGATGGGGGCAGCATGACCTCCCACCGCTTGCATCCCACATGCTTGGCACCTCTGGGGTTGAGCTCCATATAACGCTTGGGCTCGGGCCTGACAAAGGGCTGCAAGCACCAGCAAGCACGTGGCTGTCATGATGAAGATGGAAATCCGTGATTCAGGGTTCAATGACCTGTCTCATTAGGGTCAGTCCTGCCTGCTCCTTTTGTCATGCATGCCCAATCGGGCAGGCTGTCAGTCTGCCAGGACAAACAACCATGTGCGGAGGGAATGTTATGTCACACTTACAGCACAGAGCCTGGAGCCAGGCTGAGCCAACTTGCTGCTTAGAACTTCCTCTCTGCCTGCTGGTGGCCTTGACTCAGAAGATTGTCTTCCTGTGCCTCAGTTTGCCTGTGAGAGGAAAGTGGGACAGGGATAAGAGGCTTAGCAGTAGGCATGGGATAGGAGCTGTAAGTCTAACTGGAAGCACATTGATTGACTGCTTCCATCCATTGATTTCCAAGCATGTTGGTCTTGCCACATCACAGCCTGGAAGGTGAGGCCTGCAAATGATTTCACCAAAGCTACTGGTGGAAACCAGACTGGCTTTCAAGTCTTTTTCTTTACTTTCTGCACCTTGTCCACCATTCACTTCCCCTCCCCAGAAAGAGCAGGCTCCCTTTAAGGCCATGACTCCATAGGATTAGAAGAACTAGGCTGTTCCTGGTGCCAAGGGCTCAGCTGAAAGAATGGAGCCTGCCAGGTAAACTGCAGGCTGCAAGTTTGGTACTGACAGCCTAGATGCTCATGTTTCTGTTCCCTGCATTGGTAACCATGAACTTCTTTTGTTTCTTTCCTTTCTTGAAAATGTCCATTGCTGCCTCTTCAAGGAGTTCTCCTCCAGTTCCAGCATCACCACTGTCGGCACCGTCACCTCCCGGGTGACCAAGAATGGGGATGCTGTCATGGAGAAGGACGTAATCAATCATGAGGACTTGGCAGGAGACCGGGGCATGATAGATGATATCTTTGATGAGACCTACCGGGAGAAAGAGGGCCCCAAGCCCCCCATGCGATACGTCTGGAGGAATATCATCCTCATGAGCCTTCTCCATTTAGGGGCCCTGTTCGCATTGACACTGATACCTTCTGCAAAGATCCAGACATTGGCGTGGGGTAAGCACGTTCCTCCATTTGTTTATTGCCATCTGCAAACCCCAAATCTGTTGGGTGGCATTTTGTTTGATCCTCCAGGCCCACAGACTTAGGGAGGAGAAAAAAAGGAAGTGGAGGTCTGTTAGAAGAAGCTACTCAGCCAGCTTTGCAGCAGCCTGTGGGAGGGCTTGATAATGTCTCTCATAAGGTCATGCATGAGAGGGGAGGATTTGGCAGGGGACTGCTTGACTGCTTAAAGAACAAACTTGATTCACAGGCATTAGGCTTGGAAGTAGCCACTTGTGGGAGGAAGCACAGACAATGTTTGATGGAATACTGTGGCAGTCCCTGAAAGTTAGGAGGAAAGATGCTAGCAACAGCACTTTAAGGGGTGAATGGGGAGGCAAGGTACAGGGCATTATTTGGCTTCAGGCTGCTCCCCAAAGATAAGAGTCATTCCTGTCCTTACCAAGGGAAGGTAAATCCCACAGAGCCTCCACATGTGTGTGAGAAGAGACAAATACAGTTGTGCTGAAGATAAAAGTCAAGAGTTTAGTGTGAAGCTCACATCTTTTCTCTTTCCTACAAAAGCACAGATTAGACCCCATCATCCCGGAACTAAGCCTGACAACTTTCAAAAAATAAATAAGCAGCTCTCCAGGCAGCGAATTCCAGTGGAAAGCACAACCCAGCAGAAGGTAGCTAGGCGAAGCTCTCCCTTCTCAGAGACCTTGCCCTGGGCAGGAACCAAATCTCCTCTTTGAGTGTTTGAAAGGCAGCTGGGCGCGGGTTCCAAGCTGCAGGGGAGCTTCATTTTCCACCAGCCTTTGTGTGGACCCCTGGAGGAGTCAAGAAGCCAAACGGCTCCCAGTGGGGAGGTCAAGGCTTTGCGTCCAGCCCCTGCCTTCCTGTGAAACAGAACATCCTGAAATGAATAGCGACAGTTTAATTTGAGACCTGCTGGCATGGCTCTTGGTTTCAGTGGTGCTCCTGCAGTGTACTCAGCTGAGAGCAGCATCCTGGTCAGCCCAGCTGTGCACAGGCCCTGGGGCGATCCACTGGGTCTGTCACGCTGTCAGAGTCTGTCCTCCCGATGGCTGTGAGCAACAAGCATCACAGCTGGACTGGGAAAGAGATGGCTGCATGCACAGTCAGACTGATTCCTTTCCTCCTGGCTCATCTCAGGCTCTCACAGGCAGAGGGGGATGAGCATCACTGGAGGCCCCAGGACTCAGTCAGAGGCAAAAGCAGAGGTACCGATGTGTTCCCTGTGCAGCCAGCATGGCCTTTCGGGGGGAACATTATGAAAGAAGTCTTTGCTCAGCCTTTCCCTTGTGAAAATCTGACAGGCTGCACTTTACCTACCATGGCAGCGCTGGGCAGAACATGCAGCCTCAGCATGACCTTGGAGGAACATTCCAGGGCTCTCGGTCCTGCTGTGAGTCCCATCCCTGGAATCTCAGCTGGAGGCTAGGCAGGAGCTGCTGTCTTCTCTCACTTACTGAGCTGACAGCCTGGGTCCTCCAACCCTAGTCAGGTACCCTCAGGTCACTGGGGCAAGGTGAGTTGGGTTTACTGGTTTCATTTCAAGCTGCTGAGATGCACTGTGATTTTCAAATCCATCCAACCCTATTCCCTTGAGCTCCCCCGAGATACTTAAGTGGGCTCGAGCATCTTGATTCAGCAGGTTAATGCTGCTTTGCATTCTGCTAAGCCCCACTCACCCCAAAATGATCTCTGAGGCAGTCTTTACAACCACATGCTTGTTCGGTGTGTCTGTACAGCATCCCATGGCATTTTGTGGGAATCTGCCTGCTTTTTACCTGATGCCAGTCCTTCCTGCTCTTCTCCTTCAGTTAACTCTGATGTGCCAGGCTGGATGACGATTTGAGCAACCTGGTCTAGTGCAAGGTGTCCCTGCCTATGGCAGGGAGATTGGAACTAGATGATCTTTAATGTCCTTTCCCACCCAAGCCATTCTGATTCTATGAAGTGCCAGTTGCTGTCCTGCCACTGTGAGGCACTACAAGATTCCTTGGTGGCTTCTGGAGTCAAAGATGCTCTGGGAATGGTAGATGGACATAGAATTTGGGGGAGCTGTACTGTTCTGGACTGGCTGATGATCCGCCATGCCTTACCAAAGCTGGAGTAGCTCCACAGAGCTCCCTGTCCTTCATCCCTGGCACTTGTTCTAGAAAAGAACCATCTTTCATAGACAGACCCAACAGTCCATTCTTCTCCAGTGATGATGAGAGCTCAGACACTCTGATCCTCCATGGGTCTGGCTTCTCAGCAAGACTTCTTGCTCCTTCATGCATCGCCCTTTCCTTGGTTCATACTTTTCTGTAGCATATACAAGGCATCTGTGGCTGTCATCTCAGTGACTTGCTGTTATTTTCCCAGCACCCACTGGTAGCAAGGAGAAGACTACGGTTCCCATTTTACATACAAGGATAAAGCAGCAAAGACTGACGTTGCTCCTGGCAGTACAGCTTGGGCTTAGGGCAGAGCAGCTCTCTCAGTGGTAGTGCTGGAGCTGCTGGGGTTTTTGCTTGTTTCCTTGTTTGTTTTTCAGATAATTTCTTCCTTAGGCTATGTACATATAATATAAAATTAACATGGTCCCAGATGTTCTCTGCTGTGATACTTCAGGCAGCTGTGGTGCCTGGTAGCTGATTATCTGCCTTCTATATTTTATTATAAGGAACAGTCCCCTGGTTATACCCTTTCCATCCAGGCCACAGTCTCCTTGATGTTCCTATCCCTCTGAAACCAGTTATACTGGTGACTGTGTCCTCTTTTGTTTTCATTTCTCTGTGTGCTAATTCCTCTTTGTCTTTCAAGCTCTCCAGCCCTGCCTTCATCATTGTTTGCTGTGCAGCATTGCTGTGTGCATTGTATCCCCTGATCTCTTTCTGGTACAGAGCTTCCTAGAACAAGCTGGGGTTGTTGATCAGGTGAGAGCTTGCCATAATGAGAGCTCTCCAAGCCCTTCCAGCACTGGCTTTCTATCCAGCTCCCTTTCTATTTACTGTCTTCTCCACTGCACTAGACAAAGTCTTGCGCAGTCTTTTCAGGGATCACAGGCAGGTTTCACATCATTCACCAAACGGCACAGAGACTGAACCTGGAAGGGCAGGATGCAAAGGGGATAGGCAGTTTCTTCTCTAACTGCTTTGACCCTTCCTGGAAACATGATTTGCAGGTTGTCTTCCTGGCCCTCTGGTGCAGCAGACTGACAATATTTGTGTTAATCCCTGTTGGCCTGGCCAACAATGCCTGTAAAACAGTGACAGTTCCTCCTGGCAGAGAGCTCATGTGTGAGTGACAACACCTCATCTCCCTGCAGTGCCAGCCATGCCAGAAGCATGGGTTGATACCATTTTTTGTTGCTGCTGCATCATCTTTGGACCCAGGAGAATCTTGCTGGATAATGTAGTCAAATCTGACAGCCTGAAAATCTCACCACCTGGGATGTGTCCAGCAAAGCATTTACAAAAGGTTTTTGTTACTTTCCCATCAAGACTATGCTGGCAACACCTTCCCACTTAGTGTCCTCTCCAGGCTTAACTAGCGGATGGCATGCTTCTCCTCCAAGGGTGTAGGGGAAGTTAGGTTTTAGCAACAGCATCCCCTATTGCCATCCCTAAACACTGTTCCCCTTACGCTGCCTGCACACATTTCCTTACCCTTGGTATCTTTCTCCTGAGATTAGCAGGACTTACATGGCTAGCAGGGACTGGGAGGCATGGAGGAAACGGTCTAAAGCTGTAGTTTTCCCTTGTACTGAGGAAGAAGCCCAAGGACACCTGCTGGAGCAGGGACACCTCATGTAAACATCCGTAGTGTTAACTGCAGGTAACAATGCCTGTAGCACATTCCTGGCTTCCCATTATAGCTTGATAGCTTGAGGTCTGAATCCGGGCCCTAAAGAGGTAGAGGATAGTGAGTCATACAGACATGACTGAATCAGGAACATTTTGGGTATAATTTTTGAAGCACCGAGTTCTGCCAGTGGTCATAATTCTTTGTATCCCAGTTAAATGTGTCATTGGAAACATCACTTGTGAGTTGACAATCTTTTGGATCTTGGATACTTCAAAGCATGGTGTGGAAGATGACTCTGAAGCCTCAGCTGATGGAGTCCCTAAGTCCTTCAGTTTGGAGCAGCATCACAGGGCAGCCGTGAGAATCTGTGCTACTTTATTTCATCTTCTCTGCTCTCTTTGCAATTTCATTATCAATGGATGATCTTGAATGAGTTTTTCTTCTTCCCTGTGAGAGATGCTGATTGCCTGGATATGCAATGATCATTATTGTACCTGTTTGCAGGGATGACTGCTCTGAATCATTAGGGAGCTGTATTCATCTGTTTTCCACCAGACTTACTGTCACTATCGTAACAACTCTTGGGTATGGCTGATGGAGCTAATAGTCCTCAAGGAGGCTTTAGGTTTCTGTGGGGCTGGGTGCCACGTATGCATAGACTGAGAATCAGCTCTTTTCACACAGAAAGTGTCTGATCCTTAGATAAACTACAACTGCTGTATATGGGCAAGAGGCATGGCAACACAAGATTGTAACTGGAGAGTTGTGGCCATTGCAGTGGCCTGTGATGCAGCTCCAAGAGAGGTCAACAAGCTGTTTTGGATGAAGGACATTACTGTTCTATGCCAGGGCACCCAAAAGCAGTGGGTACTTTCCCAAATTTTTAACAAAGGCTTTCAGGTAAGGCTACCCAAAAGCAAGTACTGGTTGTACTGGTTTCTGGGTCTGTTGGTGTCTCCACCACAACTCTTTTGTGATTCCCTGTGCTTGCTGATATGTCTTTGTTGCTGGTATCATCTTCTCCTGAAGGAGATATCTACAGGCAAATTACCTGTATAAAAGAGATACAGATGAGTTTCCTTTTTGCAAAGCTTAAATACCACAGTCCTCAGACAGAGTCATCTTCCTGGAGGCCTCTTTTACCAAAAAATTCCCAGTCAACATGTGAGGATTCACCAGAGAGGGAAGCCTTAACTCAGGGCTATAGATAGGGCATGTGCTCACCCAACCTGACATTTATGTTCTAGTGCTATTGAAGACCATGAACGATTGCATAGTTCATTTCTGTCCACAGTGCACCATTAATGCATGCCTGTTTGCCCCACAAGGAAAAGCTGGGGTTTTTCCCTAGCAAGTTGCACCACCTATCCATTGCAAGCTGCTGTTGTTTATCCTGGACTCCCTGTATGGTGTTTTCCATAGAGTCTGTATAAGTTTGAAGGTTAAATCCAGACTCATGGCTACCGCTCTCAGCTCTGCCATAAACTGCTTGTCACCCTTGGAAATCTACCTCAGCTACTGAGGTGTGCACAGTAGCTATGAAGTTGCCCAGAGGTGTTACAAAATGTGGTTTGCAGGGTATAGCTGTTTATGTTCAAGGGAGAACGGCAGCAAGTCACACTTCTGCTGCTAGCAGGAAGTGCCTGAAACATCCAGGAGTGGGTTTCGTTGTTATTGCAGTGTCTGAGGCCAGAGAAGTTCTGCAAATTGGAGTCATGTTAGGTGTTTTTTCAAGGTTTGCTTTTCTGTATGAATCTGTAGGGAGAGTGACTGATTTAAAATGGGGTTTAAAATCTAAGACAAACAGGGAACTGCTCATGAGCTAGTTCATAACTTTCAAGTCCGCATCATGGGGCTGGGTGGCACTTTCAAGGTATTCAGCGTAAGTACTTTCCTGTCAGTAAAGCTAAAGGGAGACCTGCTCCAGCATTCCCACCTTCTCCCCTTCCAGGCTTGGGCAGCTTTTTGAGCTTTGTTCAGCTCTGTTGTCTCTTGCAAAGGCTAGATCCTGCTGCATTTGCATGCATTTTCACCCCTCTTCATGTCCTATAAATCAGCCATGACCAGTGACTGCTTGGCCCCTCCAAGAGACCAAAGAGGTGCTGGGAGACTTGAGGCAGGGGTGCACTGGTCTGAGGCTGGCACTGCATTTGGCAGCACATGGGGAAGCCAAGGGAGAAGATGAAGATGGGAAGTCACAGTCAGATCAGCAGACGGAGAACGTCACTGTTACACAGCGGGACGGGAGTGAGGAGGGCTCATGGAAGTTTAAGGGGCCAGAAGAGGATGTTAAATCATCCAAGAGAGGCATTTAGCAGATAAGAGATGAGGTTTGGAATGCAGTAAAAATAAAAATTAAAAAGGAGGTGACAGAAGGAAGAGGAGCAGCAGATAATAGAAATAGAGCCTGGATTATTTTGAATGAAAGAAAGGGCAACAGTGCCTTGTGCATGTCTCAGATCTCTGATTTCAGACAAGTTTCTGGCAGAGTATCTATTTTTCTGGGTTCAAGATAAGCTTGATTAGAGCCATTTTGCTGGACTGAATAGTATTGTCAAGCATTCCAGCAATTCCTATCCATGGGTTTACATGTAAGAATAATGAGCTGTTTTCATGATTGATCCAATTGGCTAAAATCTGCAAATTTCACACCAAGGGAAGTTTCCCCTGAGGGACTGATAAGAAGGCATCCTTTACCCCAGGGGACTGAAAGTGTAGCATTTGTGCCTCTCTGGGGGGACAGATGTATGCACAGATGTCCCTCTCAGTGTCTGAGCTTGCAGGGCAAACCAACTGTTGAATGCCCTCCATCATTCTGCTAAACTTCCTGACCTAGAAACTTCCTAGAGACAGAGTTAATTTTCAGATACAATTTTCTTCTTATTCCCAGCTTCCTAGTGCAATGCTGCTATGACCCTATAAGTGTCTTTTCTCTATTTTCGTTCTAGGACAGGATACTGGAACCCAGGTTAAATTCAAGAGGTCCCAAAAGGACATGTGGGAACACGCAGCCCAGGGCAGACACAAACACGTGATCCAGAGGGAAAGGGATGTGGCTTTTTACTAGCTGCCAGAGGGGCAAGGCATACTTTCTGACCTGTGTGGAGAAGGAACACATGGAGCAGCCTCAAGGCCCAGACACATCTGCGTCTGCCATGGGCATGACTTGCAGTGCCCATGCCCACTCTCACAATGAGTTGCTGGCCTCGGGAGTTTCCTCACATAAATGGTGCTGGAGCTGAGCAGATGGTAGGGTCAAAAAGATCCCAGGAATGGAGCCTCTAGGCAGATCTTAAGTGGGTGGTGGAGCTGAAGGTGAAGCCCAGGCTTCAGTGAGATGATAGGTTAGATCTCCTTCTAGCCAGCTTCTGGTCAGAAAGGGGGCAGAAGAGAAGCCTATGCTTGGGTTTGAGCTGTCCCCCCAAAGACCTGTAAGATCACCTACCACCTCTATGTGAAAAGAATGCAAATGAGATTTAGTGAGGAGTGGTGAGATAGGAAATAATCCTTGATTATTCAGGGAAGGAGGAAAGGGGGGAGCTGTTACCACAGGGCTATATGGAAGCAGTCACTTTATACAATTTTGATGATCCTGCACCATGACAGATGGCACTATGCTGAAGAACCAACCCTTCTGACAAGTCTTACCAAGAACACCCTCCTTCCTTGTCAAAGATGAAGAGCTGAAGTGATTTGCCCCATGCTGCTTAGGAAGTCTGTTGTAGCTTGGGCACTCTCACATTGATTTTTATTGTCCCGATCTCTGCTCTCGATGGGTTCCTCTCACTTATACAGCTTTGGGGCAAGGCCTGCCTTTGTGTTGCTCTGCCTGAAAATTTGCTGCAGGCTGACTTGCTCTAACTGCTGCATGACTTTCTTTTCCTCTCCAGCTGTTCTGTGTTTCCTGCTGTTTTCTCCCCGCCTCTGGAGCCATCGATCCTATAAAGCCACCTTGCCCCTGCGGATCTTCCTGACTATTGCAAACTCCATGGCCTTCCAGGTAAGCACCTCCTCAATGTGCCCCTGCTCCTCAGAAGGAGGTGCTCCCCTGAACCCATCTCAGATATGTGGTACAAGGTGATGGAGAGGTTCCTCTCTCCCACTACCTCTTGTTAGGAAACAGCCTGCCCTTTTCATCTAGTATGTGTTGGAGACTGTCTCATTGTCTCCACTTTGTCCCATCAAAGGGTGACTCTGAGAAGACCTGGGTGAGGAGAGGACTGTTGGCCCAGAGCAGGGCTAGGAAAGCTCTCCAAACCAGGAGTGTAGCCTTCCCTCCAGGTGTGGTCTCCCTATGCATGCTCCAGTTCCCATGAAAGACATGAAAGTGCTAAGTGCTCTCCTAGTGTTGCCTCACCCTCCTCTTGCCGCATGGCTGATAAGGGGGAAGACATCTGCACACCCCAGGGAGCCAGGCTGTGGAATCTGCTGTTGCAGAAAGACCAAGGACTTGCTGAGATTATGCAGTTAGGGGGATGCATCTCTGGTTCAGAAGAGTGATAGTTATGAATAACCCTGATATAAGTCGCGCCACTGGTTTCCAGAAAGTCACCTCAGGTCAGTGATGTTTCAAGGAGAGAAGGGCTGGGCCCATTCACAATGGCCCAAGTGACTGCAGGCAGCTGATAAACACCTCAGGCTATTGCCTAACCACTCAGAGAGCACTTCACAGTCCATACAGCAAACAAATTGGGACTGTAAAAGAGATGGCCCTTCAGAAGTCAGAGTGAAAACCCAGGTTGGCATGGCACAGGAAAATCCTGGTGGCCTTTTCGGTTTGCTGCTGGTAGGCAGCTGTGACAGCACTCTGCCCTCCAACTGTGCTTGAAGGGATTTCATACAGGCTGGCTCGTGTGTAGGAAGTAATCAGGAGGGTGGCAGAGGACAGCACTTTCTGCTAGAAAAAGGAAGGAGAAAAGCATCAGTGCTGTGCCCCTCAGTAGTTTTCCAGCTGAGGTATGGGGGAAGGGTAAAGCCCAAGCAGACCAAGTATTTTAGAGACATTATTTTACTTCTCCCCGCTGTGTAGCCGTAGAGGATATCACTTCATTGACATGTAATCAAAACAGGGTGGGGATGGAGTTTGGGAGGTTTTTAAGTTGACAAACTTTTCTAAAACACCATTGACTTTCCTATTCTTTGTTAGTACCAAACCAGAATCTTTCATGAGCAAGAGGAAGGACCAGGCTGCTGATTCCAGCACCTGGTCCAGCATTCAGCAAGGGAATGGGATGGGTTGCTGGACATTGGCTAGTCCCATACAAAGACCATCTTTCTTTCATAGAGTTATAGGGCAGAGGGGGAAAGAATTTGCTGAGCTATTGCTCTAGGGGATAGGAGTACACAAAGACAAGAGACAGATATTTCAGCTTCAGTAGGAACTAATCCAAAGTTTTACTGAAAATTCAATACCATTCCCCATGGATTTATGGGGTTTTTCTAATAGTTACTTTCAGTGAGATCAAGAGGAGGTTTATTTTCAACTTACCTCCTTCCTGTTAGTGGCAGCAGCTCTGTGACCAGACCAGTAACTTTTAAGGCCAGAGAAGACAATAGATTATCTTATCTGAGGTCCTCCAGAAGACGCCTGTTGGCTGCTCAGGGATCTGTGGCTTGTGATTTCAGAGAATTTGGGAAATGTGCACCTAGTTGCCTCTTCCACCTGCAAGACCAGGCAGCTGCAGCACTGCAGAAGCTCTTCTGCTTATAGCCTGTAGCTGGTAACTCCCAAGGAAGGGGGCATTCTCCTAGGTTTTGCTTGCTGGGCCAGGAAAGCCATGATGTTCAGACAGGTTTGCAGTTAGAGGTGGTCCCAAAATGAGATCTATAGAAGAGATAAAAGACTGGGCTTTCTCATATTACGTGATATTGTGTAGGGTCTGGAACATGAAAGAGAAACCTGGGACACAGGTGAAACATTTCTTATATGGGTATTGGTTGTATTTCTTTTCTTACTAGATAGGGAAGGCTGCTGTGCTACCCTCTTCTGGGGGAATGTTGGGTGACCATGCTCTAGCTAACAGCAGTGCACAGATCAGATACTTCAAGGTATTGAGGATTTGGCTGGAAGGAAGGCAACCGTTCCCAGTATTTGGAAACAAATGATACTTGAATCCTGGCCCATGTCTATCATTGGCTTATTGCATGGCCTGCAGGTAAATAATGTTATCTCAGATGAAGAAGGAATGGTTACAGCACTTGAGAGGGACTTGAGGAGTCATGCCTTTGCTACAAGCTCCTGTTGTGGTTTAAGCCCAGCTGGTAACTCAGAACCCTGTGTGGATAAGTCTTTTGGTCTTTCCAGGCAAGTAATAGGGATCATTATGCCGCTTCCCTACTTTCAAAGTGTTTTGAGGACAAGTCCTACGTATTTAGGAGATTAAGGAGCCTCTTGTGTAATACAGGCAATAGAGGTGGACTTGGATCTCTGTTTCACCAAAATCTTGGTCTAAAAGAATAAGCACAGGCTCATTAGTATCTACTCTTAATACTGGCCAAAGCAATCATTTCTTAGTACAAATGATGAAGGCTTTGACATTTTCCAAACTATTGATTTTTGCAGCTTAAACATAGTGGTTATGGGGCTGAAGGGGGGTGTTTTTGACAACTGCCATTGAAATGGTGTATTTATTTTATTTCTGAAGAGAGGCTTTAATTTTAAGACTTTTGATTTCCAATTAAATAAAAAAATTAAAAAAACCTTGCCCCCAGGTTTAACAGGTCTGATTTGGCAATCCCAGGAAAAGCAAGGCAGGTTGACCCATAGAAAATGTCAGGATGAAGGGAAGGGGCAGGTTGATCAATCACAGCTGGCACTTTGTAGGGATGGGGACAAGTGACCAACAAGAATGTGTGAGGGAGGAGGCACTGACTGGCCACTGAGGGCTGGCTATTGCAGGGGTGGGGGAACAGACTGACCATTCAGAGCCTGTGATGCTGTAGAGGATGTGCAAACCAAAGCCTAAAGTTAGCCAACTGAAAAAATGAAAAGGCAGCCCACAAAAGAAGCAGATTTCAAAGAAAATTGAAGAGTTTGAGCCAAGAATACCCAAACTTTGTTTTAAAAGCCAAAATCCCCAAATGCTCATGAAAGATAAAATATTGATACAAGTTCAGGTCAATGGGATTTGGGTGTCTAAATGTTTTAGGCCCTTTTGTAAATTTGAAGGAAATATCTCCAGCCCTGGCCCTAAGTCTCCACCCCTGTTGCCTTGCAGAATGACATCTATGAATGGGTCCGGGACCACCGTGTCCATCACAAGTTCTCCGAGACAGATGCAGACCCACACAATGCCATGCGGGGCTTCTTCTTCTCCCACATCGGCTGGCTGCTGGTGCGCAAGCACCCGGATGTCATAGAGAAGGGCCAGAAGCTGGATCTGAGTGACATAAAGGCTGACAAAGTGGTCATGTTCCAGCGGAGGTGAGTGGTGGGTTCAGCCCCAGCACAGAGCCACTGTGGAATGGGGCAGGGACCCCACAAATGTGCTGGGGACCCCAAGCGCCTTTGACAGAGCATGAGAGGATTGAGAGCATCATGTGGGAAATATGAGTCTTCAGTCTGCCCAAGGCTTTGCAGTGGGATGAACTGTGAGAAATGAGCCGTGCCACTCCTATAGGAAGTATTTAGTAGCTAGTGATGCCTCCAGCCATCCCACACCTCTTTCTTGCCTGCCTATACTGTAGCATCTTGCCAGCAGCAGGCTGAGCTTCACACTGCAAAGCACCTCCATGCCCGCCTGCGCACAGCCCAGCTGCTGCTTTGGCTGGCCCAGAGCCCACCTGCAGGTGCCTGCAGGCCATGCTTTGAGATGATGTGGTGTGCCTTCCAGGCCATGACTCTGGCCCTTCTCCCACCAGTCTTCTGGAAACAGTGCAGTGAAAGAGGGGTTGAAAGCGGGGACATGAAAGAGGCAGTAACTGGGAAGGAAGTCTTGTTTCACTGGTGCCTATTGGATGGGGTATCTTTTAACTGTGTGGGGCTATACTGGGGCTGATCCCAAGAGGAGGTGAGCCCGTCAATAGGGCTGCAGGGATGGGGAACTGAACCCATGTAGTAAACACCCTCGGGAGGTCCCTAGTTCAGTTCCACACACATCAAGCAAGGTTTATGGCTTCCCTTCTTTTTGTGCCTGAGATTTTTCTCATGGGTGATCAGAGTGGTTCAGCTTCCTTTGTTCCCATGCCTTTAGTGTGAGAGACCCTGCATGCTCATCTGTTTGATGGCAGAGGAGGCCAAAAGCAGCAGCTGGTGTCTGAACTCATGGTGATTGGGATATTGCTTTGTGCACATGTGAGATTGAGATAGGGAGAGCAGGACTTGGCTTTGAGTCTCCTGCCTGGTGATAAGATTCAGGAATCTGCAGGCATGGCTTCTGCACATCCAGGACAAAAAATACAGGGCTCAGGAGAGAGGTATTTCTGCAGTCAATTTTCCCTGTATAGCTGAGTGTAAATCATCCAAAGGGAGGACTGAACCAGCCCTTGCTGTCCTGCCACTGCCACTGAGCACTTTCCTCCTGGTCCCTTCCTTTCCAGATACTACAAGCCCTCGGTGGTGTTGCTGTGCTTCATGTTGCCCACCTTAGTGCCCTGGTACTTCTGGGACGAATCCATCATCATCAGCTTCTTCATTCCAGCCATCCTGCGCTACGCCATAGGGCTCAATGCCACTTGGCTAGTGAACAGTGCTGCTCACATGTTTGGCAACCGGCCGTATGATCAATACATCAACCCACGGGAGAACCCCCTAGTCAGCCTGGGGGCTCTAGGTATGTTCATCATCCATGTCTTTTGCTGTGGGTAGACTGTAGAGTGTGGACTGCCTCTTGGGGCTGCAGCTCCTTCTAGGAAGCTCTGTGAATGCAGGTGTCCCTATTCTCCCCTGCACCATTCCCTTTCAGCCTTTGCATCTGGGGGTGTTTCCCAGGCTGGCCAGTGAGTACATAAGGGCAGTGGGGTTATCAGTTCCCACCAGCCTTTTTCCAGGCTGGAAATGACTCTGCTACACTTAGCACCTCCTTATCTCAATAGCAATATTTTATTTACCCTGCTTGAAGGTCTCTCTGCCACATTCATCAGACTGAAAAACCCCATGTTGCAGTCTCTGCTTATCTGTCTTAGATTTGTCAGTTTGAAAACCAGCAGATGCACATTTGGACACGTTCTCAGGGCAGCTGATGATTTTGGAGGTACTCGGGGATGACACAAGCCAGATCATCTCATGTGTTTTCCTGAAATTTTGGGGCCTAGGGAAGTATATCCCAGGGTCAGCATTTGCCCTGATTTGTTCACCCAAGCCCATATCCCAAGCTGGTTTGCATCACTGTACATCACTGGGGCTGCACTGATTTCCACCACTGAAGGATCTGCTTCTGGATTTTTAGTAGGAAGGGGTTTGAACTGCAGAGACTCGGGGGTAGGGGCAGACTGCAGGTGATGTCATTGAAGGGGTGAGTGAGCGCTGTAGCCAGTGTTGTGTATCTGGAGCAGATGGTTGCTGACAGGTAGATAGCTTAGCAGAAGCCTGTCTGCGTTATTCCCAGCTGGAAATGTCATTTGGATTTGGCATTAGGACTGCCAAGTGTTGTAGAAGTATTGATTAGCCTGGCTTGTTGGGGACATGCTGCAGGTCTAGCTGGTAGCTGAACCAATACCAGAAGGTTTCTCATGGTGGCAGAGGAAAAACTGTTATGATTCTCCTGGTGTTTTGGTGCAGTTGGTGAGCCAGCGCCTTTCTCGGTTCCTCGCCACACACTCATTTTCCAATAAAGCACTGTAGGTCCTCTGTGACTGTCATGTAGGTCCTCTCTGACTGTCATTGCCTCATTTGGGCTAGCCTGGGCATGCTGGAGCACACCCAAATGAGATGGGGTAGATTGCAAAGGCAAAATTGGGCCGAGAGGAGCCTGGACTCAGTCCAGAGCCTGTTTCAGGAATGTGGTGCTTTGGGCCAAGTTAAAGGGGCCATCAGTCTAGAGCTCTGCAACATCCTCTCCCTGCTCGTGTTTTGCAGGAGAAGGTTTCCACAACTACCACCACACCTTCCCCTATGACTACTCCACCAGTGAGTTTGGCTGGCGCTTCAACTTAACGACAGCCTTCATCGACCTCATGTGCCTCCTGGGGCTGGCCAGCGATCGCAAGAAGGTCTCCAAGGAGGTCATCCTGGCTCGGAAAATGCGGACTGGAGATGGGAGTCACAAGAGTGGCTGAGTTCCTGCTCCATTCACGCAGACACCCACACCTCTCCTTCCTCCTTTTTTCTCCCTTTCTCCCTTCCCAACCCCTACGAACACGCTGGACAAAGGTTTAATGTTCTGTTTACTGACTACTGAATAATGCTACCAGTTTGCTTACGATAGTGATAATGAGTTTTAACCCACCTCCCATGCTGTATTTTTACATGGTGTATTAAGATCTAGGACTCTGCCTTTTATAACGCAAGGCCACCCTTTTCCCTCCTCTCCTTCTTCTTTCCATTCTTTCTCTCCAGCCCCTCTACCCCAATTCCCACCACTTTACATTGTCCTGGTCTCTCCCTGGCATAGGAGCTGGTAGGAAGCAGCCTGGGGAGGCCCACTGCAGCCAGCTATATACCGTGGAGTTAAGGAAGCCTGTACCAGCCAGCTGAAGAGTTGAGCTGAAGTCAGTTACCCTCTCCCCACCACCTTCCCTCCCAAAATACCTTCCTCTGTCCCTCCTCCTTTCTCAGGGGCTGCTGACAGATGTGGCATGGCTAAACTGCTCTCTCCAGGAAAAGCAGCCCTGTTTTCTTCCCTTGCCGTTGGAAAGACAGATGTCTCTTTCCAAGATGTCTCTTGCAAAGTGTTCTGCCCCCTATCCCTACCACACAGCCTGGCTGGCTGGGGAGAGGAGAGCCCCCAGAGCCTCTGAGAGCTCCAGCCAGGTCCATTGGTGGCGAGAGGTGTGTGGTGGGCACAGCGGGCACAGGAGGGGGAGCCTTGGTGGCCTTATTACCTCCTCCCTCTGGCATCACAGTCTCCCTCCCTGCACTGCCCACTGTACCCTGTGCCACCAGGGGCTGAAGGCAGAGCCTGGCTCTGGGCTCTGCAGCCCATTTGGAGAGCCACAGTGATGAGGGGGATAGATGGAGGGGTGTGCCACTGGCCGCCATGGGATGGCACCACCCTGGGGTGGTTTTGTTCACCACTGCCACTGAGAATTTTGCTGGCGAATGGGACTTTGCCAAAATAGAGAAGGGGAGAAGGATGTAAACCAAAGCTCCACTGCTGAGTTAAGCTGCTTTATGTGCTGGAGGAACAGGGTCCCCGCTGGGTGGCAGGCAGATGTCCTGGTGTCCGTGCCTGCCCTGCGCTCCACATCCTCTGCTGAGCACAGGGACAGGGCAAGGGAGCACCTGCAGCCATAGGGAGGGGTGAGAGTATTTGCAAGAGCGTCTCTCCATCATCAGGGACTCCACTCAGTCGATTAACAAGTGCCTGAGAAATACGGACATGGGGCCAGGCGGCATGGGGGGCTCAAGGGAGTTGAGACCTCTGAGGTGAAACACTGCTGCCAGTTTGTGCCACTTCCGGGCTCTCCTGCCCGGGGTCCACTGGAGTGGTTTGCTATTCCCTGCTCCTCCCTAAGCCCCTTATCTTGCCTCCCAGCTCCCTCGGCGAGGCATCTTGCCACCTCGCTCCTTCACTGGCGAGACGGGCAGCGAGGGCGGCTGCGGAAAGGTCAGTTATATCACTGAGCTGATGTGGGCACAAAGCTGGAGGACGCTGGGGAAAAAATCTCTGTGGGTGTTGTTTCCTGCGAGTTGCAGAGACTGCAGGTTGAGTTTCAGGCAGTGGGTTAGGTTCTGGGCGTTACGGCCCCTGAGCCCATCACTGGGCTGAATGTGCTTCTTTTTTTTTCCCCCTTAACTCTCCCCATTACTATCAATTTTTATTATCATGATTAGTTGTAGTAATAGTATTGGTTTTGTCGCTTAAATGCATCAAATAGAGCTGGAGGAAAGCACAAGAGGTGGCTGGAACAAGGTGATATTGGAGTGGGGTTTGCAGCATCTCCCTTATTCAGGCAGGCCAGGGAGGGCAGAGACAGAGCATATGCCAACTTCCTTGCCTCAGCTCTGCCACATACCAGCCAGGCACACTTCACAGGAGCAAGTCTCTGCAGCTTTGCTTTCTCTTGCTGCTGTGAAACTCACCAGGAGCCAGGACAGCCTGTAATATTCTCCTTAACAAAAGCATGCTTGTTACTCAGAAAAGAAGACCACCTTCTCTCCTTTCCCCTCCCTGCTACCACCATGGCCTTGTTATTGCTCAGCAATGGGACCCATAAGGTTTTTGAGCCATTAGCATCAATGTGGTATCCAGCCAAGGGTACACCAGGGAGGTATAGAGCAGGGAGCCCTTCAGTTCCCAGTGTCAGGAGATGTTATCCTCACCGCTCATGACTGCCTGGAGACTGGCTGAAGCAAAAAGGGTTGTGGCTACCATTTAAAAAGAAAAAGAAAATGCCCTCCAAAAAAGGAGCCTGCTCTGTAATTGCAGGCTGGCTTGGCCATAGTCTATAGCTCTCTGAACTCATAGAAATCTCCAGAGAGGATGAGTTTGCTTCTGCCAGTAATTTGAAATGGGTATGGGGAGGGGAGAAGGTGAAGAGAATGACTGCCTTGCTCCTGGTGCCCTTCAAGGTGTTGTGTGACATACCCCACGGTAGGGAAGCATGCTGTGATATGCTGCAGTATTTCACATCCTCTCAGCAGAGAAGCAGGGTTTGACATCAAGGGTTTTTTTGAAATTTCAAGTGCTGATTTGGGTCCAGAATCTGGAATTAGGGTGGAAGCTGAGGAGCAGTAACCAAACAGTCCTGGTGTTTGCCCAGTCACTTTAAAGGTAGATTGGCAAATATCTCTGGGTGCCTTAAATCTTTCTTTAATATACATAGGAGTATTGACAGCTATTTGCCGTAATTCTTTTTCTTTTTGCTGAATTATGAACATTCGAGGGGGTTCTTGATTTTGCCTACATTGAACTGTGGGTGCAGGTGATTTTGAATGTATTTGAGTTAGAATTTTTGTTAGATTAAGAAACAGATACAACACTTTAAGTAGAACTTGGAGAGATATATATATATATGTATACACACCTATAAATATATATATATATTTTTGGTGGCATGTTTGTATCCTGGACGCGTTGTCTGTATGTTTAGCTTAAATGAGTCTGTGAGAGGTGGAAGCAGAGAAGGCAGCAGTGGAACCTTGTGGCTAAAGCAGCCGTTCTCCTGGGACTTGTTCCCAGCTTAACTACTCGCTCACTGCGTGACTTGGGACATAGTCACTTAAAAGCTCTCGGTGCCTCAGTTTCCCTATCTGTCTCAGGGGGTTACACCCTGCCTCCCGGCAGTGCGGTGAGGCCGAGTGCGGAGGAGGGAGGCGTATGTACCACACGCACACCACTGCTGGCAGAAGCATGGACTGGTTTGTTTTCCAAAACCATTCCCAGCCCCGCTGGTATTGTAAAGCGCAGATGTCCAAGTGTTGGGTGTTCAGGGAAGGACTGGAAAGTTGATTCTGCACATTGTCTAAGCTCTGTCACTGTTGACATGTGAGTAGGATATACGGTTTTTCACAGCTTAGGGATTTCTGCATAGTAGTATCTCTGTTTTGTGTACTGGAAAAGAAAAAAAACCAACTTTTTGAAATAATTTCTACTAATATGGAAACAGATATCTGGTTGTGTGATCTGAAATTTTATTTGTTCATAATAAAAATGTTACTTTAAAACTTGTTGTGCTGATGACATGGTGAGCTGGACTTGGTAAAGCACAGGATGCCCTGTCAGGAAGGACAGCGCTATGCGTTACTGTTTCCAAACCCTCCTCCCTTCTAGGAGATCCAGGGAAAAACTCCTCTGTCTCTTTAAGCACCGTGAATGAGCGGATTATAATGGCTTTCATACTCCAGCGCAGCCCGGGCAGGCACACCCCGCCAGGGCTGCCCCTGCCCAGCGGGGTTACTGCAGGTTAATTCCAGCCGCGGCCTCTTGCCAGAGCCTTGCGGCTGATGGATATACATGCAGCATAACACGTAATACCGGCAGCTTGTGCCCCGGCCGGGCATGGCTGCCACCGTGCCAGGCGGGTTCGTTAACCTCAACGAGGGGGAATTTTCCTCCTGCGAGACGGAGCGTCCCTGCTCACCCCACCCCTCGTGCAGCTGGAGGGAAAGGGAAGGAGAAGGGGGAAATCCCTGGACCAAATCTCACTGTATTGATGTTAGCTTCCCTGCTTCCACCACCCAACTGCCTAATGAACATCCAGTCGTAGTGGAGAATAAGGGCCATTGCTGCATGGCACCAGCTTGCTCCATGCAGGAGTGGGCAGAGGGGACAGCCTTGTCTGCAGCAATGGTACCACCTACAGCAGCTGGGGACCCCCGATCCAGCCCGTGTTTGCTGGTGCTGCTGGCCCCTTGCAGCTGACATGCTGAATGCCTCATCAAAACTGGCCCATGCTTTGGTTTCCAGCTGTGGCTGCCGGAAAGTCCTTTGGATGGGAAGGTAAGAGCCAGCGTCCTGCAAAATAAAGCGTGAGCAAAGGATTGAGGGAGGGAGAAGAAACCTTCAGGGAAGGTCTTGGCTCTTCCAGCAGCCTCGTTCTCCCAGCTAGAGGTGTGTGACCAGCCCAGGCCATGTTATGTGTGACTGCGCTGGGCTCTGGAAAAAAAGCAAACAAAATGCTCTGGCTCATCAGCTGGTTACAGAAGTACATCCCTGGAAGTGGCAAGAGCTGCTGCTTCTGATAATCCAGTGGACTTTTGATCCCAGCTATGCCAGCACAGCCTCTCCTAAAACAAGTGAAACAGAGAAGGCAAATCTTCAAACCTCCTGATTACTCAGCCAAGCCTAAAAATAAAGATAATGATTCCTCTGTCTGGACTTCATGAGAGTGCAACTCTGATCTTGGCCTCTCCTTCTTTGTTAAAGACTATTATTAAATCCCCTGCCCAAAATATGTTCTTGTATACTATCAAGCCCTTCAGCAGCGCCACCTCAGCATCTTGCCACCTCAGCATCTTGAGCTTGTTGCCTGAAAGTGTTTCACGCACAAGTATTATTCCCAGTTGCCTATGTAATCCATGAATTTGGGTTGCAATTCCAATGCACCCCAACTTTGCTTCTCTGAAGACATCCCACCCAGCAGGGAAAGGGAGGGAAGAGTTAACACGCCAGCCAGCTCTGCTGGGTAGGAGAGGACAAGCAAACAAGTGCCTGCTTGTTCAGACCCAGCTGAGGGAGCTCAGGCAGGGCTGCAGGCCTGGGCTGCTGGCTGTCAGCAGCCAGGCGGAGGGTTTGCTGCATTTTCTCACTCCAGGTGTACCACACAGGAGCTGTGAAGTGTGGTGTTTGAGAGTGACACCAGGTTCCAGCTGCAACCCCCCCCCCAGAGCCAGGGTGCAGTGAGCACAGCTGTGTGGAGCC